CCCCCCCCCCCCCCCCCCCCCCCAACTATGCATGCTTAGCTACGGCCCTGGCATATCGTGTTACATGTGAACATACTTCCTAATATAACTCGGCTAGAAATTCGTTTTTGCACTTTACATCTTAAAAAAAAATAGTTTAGGGACCGGAGAAATATTGTAACTAATGTTAGCTATTTTGATCGAGATTCACAGTGCCTTTTTTAACTATATATCTGACATATCTGGGGGGGGAATTGCCCCCCCCAGGGAAAGAATCCCCCCCCCAGTAAAGCCATTTCTGCCCCCGAAGTGCGAAGCAGAATTGCTCATGATTGCTGTCAGAATTGCAGTTGATTTACTTGATATCATAATGAGATTATGCCCTTCCATAGCCTCCTCCACAGCCATCTTGTGTGTAATTCATCTTGTTCTTCACCGAGTATTTCATAATAGCGATAGATTTCATGCAAACAATCCGATAAAGTGCTAGCCTTTCCAAGCCTTGCGACTATTTCCTAGCACTCTCCTCTGCGGAGGCGTTGTGTTTTGTTTTGGGAGGTTTTATTGCAAAATTTTTCCCTTAGAAATATCAAGTTATATTAAGAGCCCACCCCCCCCCCAATCGCCACAAAAACCATTCTCTCAGAAAGGCTAAATCCGTAGAGAATTTTTTTTTTTTTTTGGGGGGGGGGTACACGTTACATGCTCGAAGCTGAAACTGATTAAGTACGTTTCGACTGAGGAAAAAGACGATATACTGGAGGAACTTGATTTGTGAAATCTCGTTAAAGCAGTTGTAGATATGGTTCCAAGAAGAATAGATTTAGTTTAGATTTTTAACTGTTAAATCCATGTATGCATCATCATAGCATGAATATTTCTTCTCAGACTTATTCTGTATCGTATGAAAAAGCAACGCAATTTTGAGAATGCGGAAATGGTGTCTCATAGAACCTAAAATGATTTAAATGCAACATTTCTGATAGTCAAAATCACATTGGGATCCCCCCCCCAGCATCACAGAGAGGAAATAAGGTGACACTGACCCCTCCTCCTATTTTTCAAGGTGCATGTCTTCGTTATACTTTATAATCTTCGGAATTCTGCTAGATTTCACCCCCAAAATGCATGAAATCGCAATTCAGGGAACCTAGATTTCAAAATTTTTCGAACCTCGGACCCTCCTAGACGGTCTCACGCCTTCGGCGTGAGATTCGCCCCCCACCCCACCCGCAAAATTAAGGTTTCGCTACGCCACTGGTTATAGCTGTACGATTATAGCTACAAAGGGTTGAAGTTATTGTTTAAAGTAAAATATAGCTGAAGTTAATAAATTAAAGTTTTACAAAATCTCTCTTCAGACTCGTGCGTTCGCCAAACCTCGACGGCTCATATTTTTCGCTGACTTTTTTTCCTTTTTTGCCTCCCCCCCCCAGTGAAAATTCCTTAAAAAAGGCACTGGAGATTCATCGCATTTTAGAGTCTGATTTTTGAGGGTTGAAATTTTCGCTAATATAAAATATCACCCGTGAACGAGTCAGAATGACCTTGCAGAACCTAAATTCCAAATAAAAGTGCCAACACGTAATCGTGACAAATAGATATCTCCATGTTTGGAAAGTAAATGGAAACTTATCCCTTTGCGCGTGTTTTGAATGATAATTCGTTCATAAACTCGCGAAATAAGTACGTAATATTTCTTCATATTACTTCTGAGCTGTTTGAGCTGTTTGAGCAAATTTCCAACTCAATGCTCAATAGTCTGAGTCTATTTCGAGTTTCGAAAATATTTAATTTGCTTCGCACTAATAAATTTAATTTGCTTCGCACTAACTAAATAAACAAACGCATAATTTTGAGACCGACTGCACATAGTTTGAGACCGACTGGATCATTTCTCTGGGGGGGTGAGCCCCCCCCCCCACACACACACACACATTTACGCCCCTGGGTTCTCGTATCTTCCGCCCTACAAATTACGTAATTACGTAATTTATAATACGGCGGCACAAGAACCTCTGGAACCAAATACGTCATGCGAGATATGAAACTAACCAGTTCTGAAACTGAATCAGAAACTGAAGGTGCAAAACAAATTTCGATTATATATCTAGGTTTGAAACTCTGAAATTATAGCCCACAAAGGCCCAGGCAATTTTGCATCCTGATTTTACATACTGAAGCAGCATTCGTGCGGGGAGATGAAATGAGTTGAGCACCAATACTGCCCCCCTCTCCCAATACTAGGGACCTTAAGCATGTACGACGGCAACGCCACGACGACAGCCAAAACAACTTCTTCATATAAATTATTGCGAAGAGGAGTTGTTGTGTATTATCCACTGCATGCATGTATATATGAACTGAGTTCAGTTTGAAGAGATTAAAACAAAGGCTTTATGGTTAAAAACGCTTTTACTGAGCAAATTTGTAGTTTCACTTGTCGCGTCTTGACATGTTTGCGTTGTACACGAGACGTGAAAATCTCTGGTTTGCCGTTGTAAAAAGCCCTAACACAACGCCTCTAACTCCCGTGGGGCTTTTAATTATTCATTTCTTTTGTACGAGATCAGGAATATCATTGTGTGAATAACCGTCGTCGCCGCGTTGCCGTCCTGTTTGCTTAAGGTCCCTACTGGCTCTGGGAAGAGGTTGAAATATAGAAGATCATAGACTAAGAGGAAAGATATTTTGTAAGATATTAAAATGTAAGATTTTGAGCAAAAAATGTCATGCAACTGAAATAAAACCAATCATATTTCCTTGTAATGAGCGGTATGAGGCCATGTAGTATTAAACTTCCTTGGCGTGAAAATGTAGGAAGAGAAGTGGAATTTTCTGAACCTCGATGTAGAAATCAAAAGTGCGCAATATTGAACAACCAATCAGAGCACACGCAGAATGCTCACAGAACCGGAAGTCACGCAGGCCAGAAGCAGAAATTAGGGCCTGAACCTCAGGTTAGAAGCCGAATATATGATCAACATATACGCATATGATATACGTCAAATAATTTGACGTATTTCAGAATGTATTTATTTCTTCTCAATATACTGTATATATTGTGTAAGTATACTGAAGGAGATCACTTAGACTTAAGCGGAAAATGGATATTACAAAACCGCAATGGAAGTATAGTTGTCAATGAAGCCTTAGTTCCTGGCTACGTTCATACGGCTCTTTTGAAGGCCAATGTCATTCACGACCCTTATTTTCGGAATAATGATGAGGTATATCGATGGATTGATTACGATGATTGGACATACTCAAAGACATTTGATTGTGAGTATAAAAGATTTATGAGTCTGACTTCTGTTTATCATGAATTCATGATATCATTTCAGTGGCGTAACTTTGTGCTAAAGCGCTGGTCCTGCCCATTTGCGGGTAAGGGCAGGGGGGGGGGGTGCTATTAAAGAAAATGCAAAGAACAAACATCAATTTTGCTACTTTGGCATAATTGATTTGGGCCTGAGCCAGGCGCCACCCAAAGGAGTTCTGAGTTCGTCCTCGTTCCCAGGGCTTCTTGCAGCAACGTCAGGTAGCCGAGAAGCCCTGGAACGAGGATGAAAGAAGTTATTCCACTGTTGCCATTTTAGCCTGCGTGCAGACACTCTTAGGTGTTGTAGTGGCCTCTCTGCATCAGTAGCTAATTTCTATATTTATGCATATTAATTACACTCACAAGCGGCATAGCTGTCAAGGTAACAGGTGATCATGTGTGAGGTCTCGCATTTCTAGGGGGACCGGGGGCATGTCCCTGGAAAACCTTTAAAATTTGGGTCTCTGAAATAGCATTTCCATCATTTTGAGGCTACTTTTATGAAAACTTTTTACATTTCGAAGACAAGATTTTAACGGTGCTTTTGGGATAAAGCATTAAAAGCACATGTTTTAAAAGCAAACACAAGGCATATAAAAAATACAATGTAATTCCAAGATAAAATTTTGTATTATAGATCCAAGGTCGTACACAGCGGGGAGTAGAGAAAACTATATTTACAATTTTTAGAATGTCATTATTTTCAAAATTATTCTTTGGATGTTTGGGACTTTTTTCGGCATATAATACGGCCATGTATAGATCACTTACATTTATAATATACACACATTGTATTTGAAACTATAAGCATTGTATTTAAAACCTTTATTCTTTATAGTTTGTTGTGTCTATAGTGCAACTGATCATGTTTGTTTTACGTTCATTATTTTAATAGACTTCAGAATCTATTAATTATTGCTGCATAATAGCTGCACCTATATTAAAATAATATGTCAATTATAAGAGCTGTAATCAGATAGAGCTGTATTCATCACAGACTCTGCAAATGTCTGCTTGACTCGGCAAATTGTTTTCGTAGTCTGTGGAAATATTTGAGTGGCTCGGAATAAAAAGTAATAGTTATAACAAAAATTTTGCTAAATTTACGAAAAGTACAGAAAAAGTTAACAAATTACGATGGATTAATTGGAATGTTTGTGAAAAATGGTCGATCCCCCTCCCCCGGCAAATGCGATACTACACACCCCTGCTTTAGCCTTTCCGGTATCGCCCTGTGAGGCGTGTGTCACATGCATAATGCATGAGACTTCAGTTGGTATGTATCTCGCCCGGGGCAAATTTTTTTTAGGGGCCCCTATCTAAAAAATTTTCCCGGAAAAATTTTTTTCCGGATAACACTCTCCCCCCCCCCCCCAAAAAATTTTCAGTCAGTGTACCATTTTAGGGGTAAAAAATTTTTTCCGGAGTAACAAATTTTTCCAGACGAGTACGTTGCAATTGCTTTCAAGGAACTTTTATCTCATTTTTTTTATGCCATATTTCGGTACTTCACCCAAGAAAACAGATATCTTGTCCTTTGCGCGGAAATATTTAACACACAAAGAAGACTGTAGCCTGCGCGCAGACTATATAATGACATATATAGTCTGCGAATCTGTGGCATGAAGCTTGTATGGTCACGTGAATTTCCCAAGAAAAGTTGGGACGAATTGTGATTGGTTGAACTATAATTATGCAGAATTAATGTTAATTCATCGAACATTGCGTTCGCAACGCGCGTTGGCTGTTCAAAATTGACGGTTTCCAAGGTCAAATGACTCAAATGACAATGTTTATTACAGTTGTATTTATAGAAGTGTGGCGGATAAGCAAAAAAGGCCGTTGTTTTCAAAACGGAAAGCCATTTCGCTAAACAGAAGATGTAATATTATAGATTTTTTCTACAACGGCCTTTCTTGTTTATCCGCCACACTTCTATAAATACAACTGTAATAAACATTGTCATTTGACCCTGGAAATGGTCAATTTTGAACAGCTCAACGCGCGTTGCGAACGCAATGTTCGATGAATTAACATTAATTCTGCATAATTATAGTTCAACCAATCACAATTCGTCCCAACTTTTCTTGGGAAATTCACGTGACCATACAAGCTTCATGCCACGGATTTGCAGACTATATATGTCATTATATAGTCTGCACGCAGGCTAAAAAGACTGGGGCCCAACAAAAAATTTTCAGGGGCCCCCAGCACCTCGGGGCCCGGGGCAATTTGCCCCCCCCCCTGCCCCCCCCTCTGCAGCCCTGATCTCGCTTACCAGGCTATCTCGCTATGTGGGCCAGCCTGGCTTCCATATATAACAGCACCTAATACAGACATTACAAATACTGTACATTAACAACAAGTACTAAAACATACAACAAGTGAAAAAGAGCATTGATCATCACTATATGCATGCTGCACAAGATTGAAACGGCTAGTTACACTTTGGGCATTAATGGTTTGTATGAATGAAGATCATCATTGATCCTCACTTTTTTAGTTCATCATTGCATGAGAAGGTTCCAGTTAAGCATTGTTTGGATAAAGAAGGATCATTCATGAGTAGTTGTCTTACATTTTGAAATGATTGATTTAGCATTAGATTTTCTGTGAGTAAAACTACTGGCAGAAGCAATGGCGAAGCTAGCAGTCGTGCTAGTCATGCTGGGCATGATGGGCATGACCAAACATTTTCCCAAAAATATGAAAATATGCATTATAATCCTCTTGTCTTCTTTCAATAAATATCAAAATATATGCCTTATAGTGCAGGGTCTGAAATTTAAATATTTTTTCAGTATCCAACTGGGATACCAGGATTCAAAGTTTAGTATCCCCCCTGAGAATGCAGTATCTCACTTCTGGATACTGGTTACCATAAGTATTCTACCCTGTCCCATCCAATAGCTCTCGCTGTTACAAATTACAGTAACAACAGGAGATTCAATGTTCAGTCAAGTCGTCAACAACTAGACAATTCATTAATCCACAAAAATTCACTTTATGTGAGGAAAGGCTTGGGTGGCAAACTCATAGTATTCAGAAGCTATCAGGAGACTGGCAGAGGTGCTTAACATTTTCCTAATGTTTGAAATTTTCTTAGTATCCAGTTGGGATATATTAAAGTCATTCACAGTTTGGTATCCAAAACCAAATTTTAGTATCCCGTGGATATTGGGATACTGCAAATTTCAGACCCTGTAGTTGCACCGAGTTTATAACACATCGCTTCCAATTCCATTTAGTTACATTTGTTAACTGATAGTCCAAAATCTTCAATATTTTGAGCTTTCTATGATTTCTAATAACATAAAAGGTAAAAACAACAGTCGCAGCGTAATGACTGAAATAAAAGGTTTTACGTTTACTAGTCCATAATGTATTAACTAACAGTAAGAGAACCATATATCAAGGTATTCATTCAATAGTGATAGATGCTGTAGTCAGTGTTAGCATATAGTCCATAATGCAACTCAGAATGGTAACTCAAGGATGTATATCGTCACTCTTCTCTGTGTTTTCTTGATACACCTTCTACAGTAGTTTCAATAAACTGCGAAGCTCGATCAATTTTGCATTGCAAGTGTGACATTACAGTACTAGAGCCAGATACTGTATTTAGTGTAACGCTGTATCACAGTGTTGTGGATCTCCATATGTATCCTAAAATTTGTTATTGTTTGTTTAAGTTGTCTGTTCTTAATCACTTGTCTGTTGCACCATATCTTAATCACTTGTCTGTTCCACCACGTTTCAACCGAAACTCATGGTTTGACAGCTCCAACCTCTCCGCCCCCTGTTGGAATTCCGAAAGAAGAACTGTTACAGTAAAGCTCCAGAATATGACAAGATTCCAGTTAGAGTGGTTAAGGATTGCATTTCTCGCATATTAGTACCGATCACAAGCCTTATTAACTGCTCTTTTGAAAGTAACGAGTTCCCACTTTGCATGGAAGAAGGCTGAAGTAATCGCGAGAAGGCGATCACGAGGTAGCTGACAACAACCGACCTATATATCTCCTTCCAATCTTGTCAATATAGCTGAACGTGCAGCCATTGGCCAGTTTAACGATTACCTTTATTGAAAAACGTAGACTCACAAGCCACCAGATTGGAAATCGAAAAATCACTCAACCAAAACCTTATCCCTGTTTGTGACAGATCAAATTTATAGAGCCATTGACGAGAAGATAGTAATTACCGCAATGGTGCTTATAGATCTTAGCAAGGCCTTCGACAGTATTTGTCATCAAACTTTGCTCAAAAACTTGCATAACATTGGCACTTTAAGCCCTGCACTAGCGTGGTACTTTAAAAGCTACCTCTCGGACAGAACCCAAAGTATCAGAATAGGTCCCTCGCTTTCCTCGCCTATGCCTGTCACCCATGGAGTACCGCAAGGCTCCATCCTTGACCTTGGACCTATGCTTTTTACTGTGTACATGAACGAGCTACGGAATTCTGTTTCCTCCTGTAATGTGGAATCTTTTGTCGACGACTCGAAATTATATTCATCTTTTGCATTGCAAAACCTTGACGATGGCCTAATTCAAATTACGAAGGACCTTCATGACGTCGCTGGATGATGCAGTCATAATAAACTCTTAATTAATCCTGAGAAGACTAAGTTCATGTTTTTTGGTGTAAGACAGTACTTAAGTAGAATGTAATAACCTTAGCTTATCCTTCTTTGGGCAAGGTCCTCCCTCTTGAGTTTTCCTGTAAGGATCTGAGGATAACCATAGACTCTACCACGAGCTTTAGCGAACACATTACGACGTTACGTCCTCCCTATTATCCGTACTTTGCCAAATAAGAAGAGTATGTCATCTTTTTGACAAGAAAACTTTGGAAATAATTTTAATCACTAGTTTTTAGTACACTTTTTTACTGTTCTTGTGTATGGTCGGGCACCACAAAACAAAATATTAACAAATTACAACTAATCCAGAATTTCACAACACGGATCTTGACTGGATAACAGCACGGATCTTGAATAAATTCCATCACATTTCACCTGCTCTGAAAGAACTTGGCTGGATCTCAATTGCAGATATGTTAACTTACCGCGATCAAGTTATGATTTTTAAATGTATATACGGCCTTGCTCCGCCCTACTTACATGATAAAGTAGTGAAGCGCTCAGACATTCATACTAGGTTCAGGGGCGCAAATGCAATTTTTTTTCAGGGGGGTGTGCGCACGAAGGACCGATTATTTTCACCAGGGACCGACTTCGCGGCTCGTGCAAACTACATATTATTACGATCTTATAGAATAAATAGTAACGCGGTCATTTTTCAATTCTTGTTATTTTAATATATACAACAACTACAACAACAATATCCTTAGACGACTGCCTCGTCCCCAGGCGCTAATAAAAAAATTTCATGCGAGTCACTATATGAAAAGTTTACATGAAGTAGTGCGTCACGACGAACAATCGCAGGGAGTTATGGGATTGAGGCATCGAAACGCTCATATCACACTCCCCTTTGCGCGCCTATAATGTGGCGCACTGCTTCATGTAAGCCTTTCATATATTGACTCGCATGAAATTTTTTTATTAGCGCCTGGGGACGAGGCAGCTACGGATGAGAGTTTTAATTAATTTGAGCTTTGAGAAGCTTCGCTCGCTTGAAGCCCATCGTTACAGAAGCTGTGAGAACAAGTTTCAATTAGCACCGCAATGTGAGTGGAAACAGTTCTTTGAATTTCGAACAATAATTCAAAGCATCGTTAATGGTAGCAATGCCTTGTTTTGACGCCAAACAATGATTTCGAAAAACTTGTAATTCAACTTCAAGTGAAGCTTCGTCCGCTTTGGCATTGGCTGGAAACAAGTCAATCAGCGACAACACATCTCTGGAAATAATTTTACTTTCGTTATATACGGTGGCTTTATGATCTTAAAGGCCACTTTCAAGTTATCTTCAAGCAATAGTATTTGGGCGTCAAGCACTTACAGGAACTCTTTTCTGTAAGACGTTTGCAACCCAAAATGAACAGTGTTTTCAGGCGTATCATCAATTCTGCGTGGTGCCACTCTCTTCCTGTGGTACTTAGCAAACTCCGTTTCAGCATTGACACCATGTTGAGCACTAAACATAACAGCAGCTTCTATTTGGAGATTTAGCTTTTCTTCCAAAGCATCGGCAATATTCAATTCAATGGCTTGAACTTGCTTTGTTAAAATCTTCGTTTTAGACATAACATTTCTCATGAGCATTAAGGCCAGGACGAATTCGAAACATTTGACAGCTGCAAGTCGATTCTTAGCTTTAACCCTTGTCTTGGCATCTTCTAATTCCGCTTCTTTATCCAAAGCAGCAATTATGTCATCAAACCTCGCCCACTCTGCCACAATTGACTCTAAGCGAGCAACCCACGAGTGACAGATTCATTTCATTTCCTCCGATTCATACTGCACTGATTCTAATAGATCTATCTAAAGCTTTCGACAGTGTAAATCATACTTTTCTCCTTACAAAACTTAGCAACGTCGGGGCTTCTCCAAGGGTTGTAAAATGGTTTGAGAGTTACTTGACCGGAAGAACTCAATCAGTCAGAATTGGATCTACTGTGTCTACTCCTCTCCCTGTTTCTTATGGTGTACCACAGGGTGCAATTTTATCACCTTTACTTTTTAGTATTTATACTAACGATTTGCCCTCATCAGTCCACCATAGTAAACTTGAATCGTACGTGGACGACTCCAAGATATTACTATCTTTCACTGTGGCTAACGTGGACTGTTTAAAGCAACAACTAGAGGAAGACTTGTATTTGATTGCAAACAGTTGTTCCGAAAATGAATTGCTTATTAACCCGGGAAAGACCAAATACATGCTGATTGGCACACGGCAAAACCTACAACAACTTCCCGTAGATATGACCATAAACTTCCTCAACGAGACTATTACCCCCGTCTCCTTTGCCAAAGATCTAGGAATGACAATCGACTCTTATTTGACATATGACCAGCATATCACCAACCTGGTTTCCTCATGTATGAATTCCCTGTGCCAAATAAACCGAGTCAAAAAATGTTTCGATAAAGAAGCTTTAACTCTCATCGTCTCGGCACTTGCAATGAACAAAATGTTCTATTGTTCAACGGTTTGGTCAAACACTTCGTCTACCAACATTAAGAAACTACAGTTGGTACAAAATTTTGCATGCAGGATAATAACAAATATTGGAAAGTTCGACCATATTTCGCCGGGCTTACGCGAACTTAACTGGCTCCCAGTAAAGGAACAATTACTACTAAGAGAGGCTATTATGATGTACAAATGTGTCAATGAACTTGCTCCACATTATTTGAGCGATTTATTCACAAAACGTTCTGACATTCATCAACGAGATACACGTAGCCATGACTCACTGCAAATACCATTGTACAAAACTTCTGCAGGTCAAAGGTCCTTTCATTATAGAGGCGTTACACTCTGGAATGATTTGGACATTAAGTACAAAAAGTTAGACTCCCTAAAAACTTTCAAAAACGAACTGAAGCGAAGCATGCTAGAACAAATATATAAGTAGATAATTTTACCTTGTTAAACTTTATACAAATGTCTTACCTTTTTACCTTAATTTAAATTCTAGATTCTAAAACTTGTAAATAGAACAACATTTATTTTTGTAAATCAGTGTTGAAAATCCCTATTTAGGGAACACAATAAAGTATGTATGTATGTATGTATATTTAAGGTCTGTGTATTTTTCTATCTTTGTTCTTTCCCTCTCCTTTACTCTTGTATCAAATGGGCAGCCTACGTCCACTATATGGGTGGTCTTCTCCTTCTTGTTCAATATGACTAGATCTGGTTTGTTGTAATCTAGCTTCTTTTTGGATGGTGAAATCCCATAGACTTTTACTTCATCGTTCTCCAATACTCTGCTTTCCTTGTCAATGTGGTGGTTATAGCTTTTTTCCGCATACTCAAATCCATACTTCTTACATAGGTTTCTGTGTATTGCAGCAGCAATCTTATCATGTCTCACATTCTTATAATCCTTTTGAGCAAGAAGAGTGCATTCCGAAACAATATGTGAGACGGTTTCATCTGCGAGTCCACAAATCCTGCATGTTGGTGAAATTTCGAACTCTTTACAATATGGTGTCGCATCCATTTGGTTCTGAGGGCTTGGTGTTGAGCTGCTAGGATCATTCCTTCTGTTTCCTTTTTTAGCGTTCCCTTCTTTAACCATTGCCATGTTGCTTCCTCGTCTCTTATCTCCTTTGTTCCTTTCCAAAATACAGGATGTATCTTCTTTTCAAGGAAACTTTCTTTTCTTCTGTTTATGATGGTTTTCTTCCTTTCTTTTGGATCTTGACCTCCTTTAAGAACTCTTCATCTGTCTTGGTGAGGTAGTGTAATAGGCTGCAATTTTCAATTTCTACAACATCTTCCACACTCTGCAATCCTCTTCCTCCTTCAACCCTCTTCCAATACAGCCTGTCAACATCATCTCTTGGGTGGAAACACTTATAAATAGTAATATCTTCCTTGTCTTTCTGTCCATTTCCTTTAGTTCTTCTTTTGTCCATTCAATTAACCCTGCTCCATACCTTATGATTGATACAGCCCGTGAATTGATATTTCCTGCATTCAATTTGGACTTGAGGATCTTTTTCATTCTTCTGAAGTACTCATTTCTGAGTATTTCTTTCATTTCACCACTTTTCAATTTATCACATTCCAAAATCTCTAGGTATTTATATCCTTCATTTTATTATTATTATTATTATTATTATTATTATTATTATTATTATTATTATTATTATTATTATTATTATTATTATTATTATTATTATTATTATTATTATTATTATTATTATTAATACTTACGCCTGCATTCTAAAAGCTCACTCTCACTCAAAGAGTGGAGGTTCAATCTGAGCTTCCTTGAGTGTCAGTGCTGTTTTTGAATAGCTGGAGGGTTAGTGTCGTACCTTACTATGTGACTACCATAGATATCTTATATACACTAGATAGCGCATCTCTATTAGTAAAATTGAAGCCAAGAATATTCCAGCGGTTACCCCCATTTGAATAGATGGCGGCCATGTTGGTCGTTCCCACTTGCTAATAAACGCTTAAAAACAACAATAACT